CTATCCATTTAGTAAATGAAATTAAGCTTGGGGCTCCGACACATCTTCGTTGGATGTATTCCACTGAAAGAAACCTATGTTTCTTCAAGGGGATTGTTCGTAATCGATTTCATCTAGAAGCATCAATACTAGAGGGATTTGTGGCACTAGAGCGCGTGAATTTATGTTCTAGATACCTACATGCTGGGTGAAAATAAAATTTAGTCGATACCAATTAGAGGATGAGCAGGGAACTGAAACAGAGAGAGATAATTTGTCACCTATATTCCCTAAATTTGGCCATCCGATTGAAAGGGAGAAAAAAAGAAAAGGCAATAATTTTCACAAGGATCTCCAGTTATGTGTTGATATACATCGATATGTATTGTTTAATACCGGAGATGAAAAACTGGAGACCTTTATCATGTAAGATCTGTCACTTTTATTATAAACTTCAATATTTTTTATATGATAAGAACTTTGAAACATGCTTGCTTGCAGGGAACATAAGACTGTAATTGACAATCATAGTAGATCAAATGCATGAATTAGAGCACAGAATCATAGTCAAGAATTTGGCAACTGGTTTAAGGAGAGAGTTAAATCTGTTGAAGTGCCTGAACATTTACGACAACTCGCTAAAGGGCCTAATACAGCGGCAAAAAGATATACAGCGTATTTCATCAATGGATATCCATTTCATACAATGAAACGAGATAGTCAAGGTAAGACCCAGAACTATGGAGTGACTTTATCAGCAACGACAGATAGTTTTGCTAGTGCTAGAGACCAAAACCCCATTGATGGAGAAGTTGTCTATTATGGAGTTAGTCAAGATATCATAGAGATTGATTGTTGGGATTGCTTTAGTGTTGTGTTGTTTAAATGTGATTAGTTTCGTAATGAAGTAGATGAATATGGATTACCTCGGGTATACTTCAACAAGTTATGCAGTACTGAAGATCTATTTGTACTGGCATCTCAAGTGCATCAAGTTTTCTATGTAGAGGATCCAATTGAGAATGATGTTTATTATGCAAGGACCAAAGTTCATGTTGATTTATTTGATTTAGAATAAGAGAATTGCCCTAATATTGGAGATACATTTTTTGGGGAGCCAGACAATGACATTGGACCATCAAATGGAATACCTGATGTTGATGTTGATCTCAGATGGTCAAGAGAAGATGTACCTGGTGATGTCATTGATATGCCAACTCATGATCAACATTCAGAATATATGGAAGAAGATATGGACACATCAGAAGAAAATGAGGACTTTGATGATGTCGATTAGGATTGGATGGTGGCTGATGATTGACGAAGGGATTTTTCTTATATATCTCTATTGCATTTTCTTATATGTACTATTGGTTTGAAAGTCAATTGAAAGAATGTTGATTTTGCCTAGTTATTATTATTGTGTACTTCTGTCTTTTTGGGTTATCTAAATATTATTAGAGATTGCTTTAGTGCTTCATTTGCTGAAACGAGCTGAGTGATTTTTCTTTAGAAAGCCTATGTGAATCAGGTTGCAAGAAGTGGTGATTTTGAATTCTACTTCACACTTTCTCCTTTTTACTAGTTCGTCTTATTGTGACTGTAATCTTCTTTTCACTGATTCTGCTTTTTCTTGATTTTGTTGGGATGTCTAACTCCTTATCTTTATATCTCTATTTTTACAGCAGGCAATACTTGGTAGTCATGAAACAGCGAGAGTCTTCAAGAATAAGGAATAAAGAAACAAGAGCAACTGTTCCAGCTGGAACACTCACATCTTTGGCGAATCAAAAGAAGTTGTTGCTAGCTAGAAGAAGAAAGGATCTACTGATCGAAAAGCGTCAGCGTCTAACAGATGTAATAGAAGAACAAGATATGCTAGAATCACACAATCCAGAGGCAGGAGTTCATATACAAGTTGACTCAACTAACAATGTATTGCAACCTGTAGAAGAACAACTTCAATTGAATTCTACTGCTCTTAAAGTAAATGAACAATGTGAAGAACAAGGCAAGAACATCCATATTTTATTTATAATATTACTTTTCTTTTTTTAATTATAAAATCAAATTACAATACTACTTTGGAAGGGTTATCTTTATTTGTGTATTATTGAAGACTCTTCCACTAAAAAAGGACAAAGAGGTCAAACAAAGATGTTAGCTGTACATGGAAGGCATGATCGTAAACTGATTGTACTGAATAAAGCTGGTCAGCCAGTTGGTCCTAGTAATGATGTCGTGATAGAGTTGAGTAGCTTCCTCGGTACACTTGCTAGGAATGCGACCCTTTATCCTCTTGATATAGAAAATTGGAAGTTGCTTGACACAAAACAGGATTTGTGGGATTATACCAAAGTTTGAAGTTTTCAATTCTCTGTTAAGATAAATATATTTAACATTTATTGCACTAACTCAAAACCATAGCTCAAAGGCTATCTTGGAAATCTCAGTTTCCTCTCTTGCTTCATTTAGAAAGCGATTACTCTTTTCTGAAAACTAACCCGAAAGCTCTTTGGAAATCTCAGTTTCTGTTCTTATTTAAATGTGAAAACATTTTAAATCTCTTTGGGAATACTTAGTCCCCATATACTTTTGAACAAAAGAACGTCAACTCTTTACTCTTTGCTTAATTCAAAACTCAAGTCTTAAAACAAAGTTAAAACGTTTGTAAAAGACTTCTTAAAATATGGTTCATGCCGAATTATGGACGTGAACAACTCAATGCAAGGTTTTCAATAACCATAGATAGAACTCAATACTTGGAACTCAAGAACTTTAATAATACTACACACTTCAAGAATGCTCAACTCAGAGGATCATGCGAAATTTATGAGCATGAACTACTCAACTCAAGGACTCAAAGATATTTCTCGTTTTCAAGACTGCTCGACTTATAGGGTTCATGCGGAATTATTGACATGAATAACCCAACTCAAATTTCATGGGTAACATGTAATAGTCCCATGATTAGGAATGTAATCTCAAATGGGTTAGAAACTCAATACTTAAGACTTAGGCCATGGGGATACTACTCCTTTCAAAGATACTAAACTGATGGAGTTCATCGGAAGTTATGGGCATGAATGACTCGACTCAAGGGTCAAAATATCAATATGGAACCCGCGTATACGACTCTTCTAATTCTCTTACTTACTTCCTCAAAACTTAGTTCAAATCGATAGTTGATCTCAAAGGATTCACAATTGAACTCAAAGACTTTCTTGAACTTTACTCTTAACTCTCTCTTGAATGTGAATTATGAATTCAAGAGTTATGATTCATGATATGAAGGATCTCAATAACAATATAGCTATTCGATAATTAGGAATAGAACTTTTAAAAGAAACGTGAATTCAAGAACTCAAAATCAACTTATCTCAAGAATACTCAAATCTAGGGAAAGTATCCTAGATTACTCTTTTACTGATCTGAAAGTAGATGTAGGGCGTGAGGACGAACTAGTCCAACACTATGATAGCCTTACATACCTAGAAACAAGATTCTTGAAGAATCTATAAGAATCTTTAAGAATCTTGAAGAATCTTGAAGAAGAACTTGATTAGAAGCCTTGAAACCCTTGCTTGAAGGTAAACAATCAAGAAAACCTTTCTTGAGATTCTTGAATTAGTTTCTTGAAATCTCTATGGCCAAGAATTATGATTTTCATTAGTGAAGATGAAAATCTGATTGTTTTGAGCCTTTTATTAGTCAAGAAATTCGTTTATGGTTTTCTTGGAGGTAAAAAGACAAAAACGACTCTTTTTAATATTTTCATGTCGGCTAATTCGTAACAGCACTGTATAGGTTACTAAAATAGCCATAACCTTTTACTCAGAAATTGGATTGACGCGAAATTGGTGGCGTTGGAAACTAGATTCAAATACCTTTAATTGGATAGGTTATGGCTCACGTAAATCTTTATATTCTAAGAGATATGGTCGTTTGAAGTTGACCCAAGTAGAATCTTACATCAAAACTTAATGAAACTTCAAGAACACTTATCAAGAACTCATCAAGAACTTAAACCTTAAATTTAAAGAACGAAATTACGCTAAATAAATCATGATTGGTGTGTGGGTGAAAGAACCCAACACTATGGAAGCTTACATACCTCTTTGAGATTAAACCCATGGTGAAAATCCACAACAAGATACAAGAATCTCAACGACGCTTTCATCCTTTCTCTTTTCTCCTCTTTTCTCTTCTTCTTTTCTCTTCTTGAATTCTCAACTAAAACCCTAGGCGTATTTTAGGATTATAAAACTGAACCTAATAGGATTAGACCCTTAAAATATTACTAAAAATAAATTATATCTGATTGGGTAAGGAAAAGACCAAAATACCCCTCTATATTTTCGGCTAACTTTCCTTAACTGGTCAGCCTATCTTCAAAAGGTCATATCTCACTCATCCGACCTCGAAACTTATCAAACTCAACGGCATTGGAAAGATAATTCAAAGATCTTTCCTACGGTATCTGGTACAACAGCTAACTTATCCTGAGCTAGGAGTTATGGTCGTTTGAAGTCGACCAAAAACTCATACTTAACTTAACATGCAAAATTTCAGATTTTGCTATATCCAATTTAATTCTTTTTGGAACTCAAGGTGCTACATCTAGTGACCTTAACACTTAAGAAAATTTAATTGCTCGATAAAATCTCACTCACTACGATGAACAGTTCGAGTCTTAGCTCAAAAAAATTTTGGGGTGTTACAAAATGATCTCATGTAATTGTGTAAGTACGTATTTATATTAATATATACTAAATATAGAGGACTTGAACTTGGACTTGGGACTTGGTCTTGGATCGGAACTTAAAATAAATATTTTTTATAAAGCTTAAATATTTGCTCTATAAAAAACAATGTTTTTCAGACAAGAATAATATATATAGAAAGAAGGGTCATATCATATATATATATATCTGTAATGCGATACAAACTGTACAAAATAGGTCCAAATTAAAGTGTCGAAGAGACAAAATAACTCAAGATAGAGATAATGATAGTTTATGTCATTCAATAATAATATTGTGATCATCACTTTTGAGAAATATTTTCACAATATCCAGGCATGGTTGGAAAACGGTATTCCTCCATGCTTCATCAATAGCTTCTTTTCTATCTCCTTTGAAAATGTCAGTAGCAATAATATGATGCATCAACCACATTTTCTCATTTATTAACCGTTGAATCTTGTCAAGTTGGTGACAAATTAATAAACGAATATTACGCTTGATATTAACAATTAACGATTGAAGAAGCATCTTCTTTAATTCATCATCTTCGTCTATATTTATTTTTTCTCTTAAATATATGTCCATTTCGGGGACACCAATGGACTGTCGGATTTCTTTGGTGTAATCTGCATCTGGAATGAAAATCTGTAGCACCTCATCCACTAGCCCTGCATGCAACATAAATTTAAAGAATATTTTTATTTAGTCGAACAAAGATTTGATAACCAAAAATATTATTAAGAAAATTATATAAGAAAAGTTTTTAACTAGATGCATGATTATATCTTGATTGATACATAAAACAAGTACAAAAATTACCTGCATTGACCGTTTGATCAACCTTCATGTCATCTGTACAGTTCAAGACTGATTGCTCTACATCAATCCAAATAAAGCAAGTATCACACTTATATTTGAACATGAACACAAGGTCTTCCACAAGTTTTTTAATTTACGAATTTGATCCTTCAACAATAATTCACGTTGAGTCTTCAAAAAAATTTCTATGTAGACAATAGCTTGCAAACAAAAATCTTCAAGTGTGAAGTCGGAATCTGACTCAATTTCACCTAAGAAAATGTGATCAAATTAACTTTCTCAGAATTGGAATAAATAATTTTTTAATAGTAAAGTATATTTTCCACTACAATCTATAATTACTACTATTAATTATCTAGGTAATCATTTGATATAAATATTATTGGAAATAAATATATATACCTAACAAATAGTGTCGTACACCTTGTTTCTCAGTGTGTGTGATCTTGTTTGTAACAATTTCAAGTCCCTTATATACTTGCATTTTATCCAACTTGATTATTTCTCCTTGAAAATGGGTGGCAAAGGTTAGCAGAGAAACGGGATTTTCCTCTTCTTGTTGCTACCATTATGAACACCACTTTCTTCTTGTTGAACTTGTTATTGTCGATCAAAGTATTCATTTTAGTTGCACATAAAATAAAATAAATATAATAATTAGTTTACAATAGTAAATAATCTCATGTAAACCACTCATGCATACAGTAAGACATTAAAAAATCTTGTAAATATAAAGTTAATAAGTAGAAACCTTGCTTGAGATGGAATATACTATGTAAAACAATGTATATTTTTCTTGATGGTACCTATGAAAGAAATTGCATTCAGCTTTTATAGTAAAATCTGTTTGTGGACTTATTAATTGGCATACCATATTCAAAAATACTGATATCTTTTAGAATAAAAATGACTTTTGAAAAAATTATACATATGTCAACTAGAATTTTGGTAATTATTATTAAATATATTTTAGGGTAAAGTTATTAGATGTACATTGTTAGGAGATTACATACAACTTGGCTTTTATAGTAAAAATGTGATTATAAACTTATTAATTGGTATAACAAATTGAAATATATATTTATATATATTCATATCTTTTAGGATAAGTATAGTTCTTGAAAAAATATACAGATATGTCACCTTGAATTTTGGTGATTAAGCTTAAATAATTTTAGGATGATGTTTCTAAATGTACATTGTTATGAGATCACATACAAAATTGACGAAAAGATCAATTACAAAAGGATTGTAAAAAGAACTCAATAATATTTCTGATGGAATATATTCAAGTGATAATTTGTTTCTTACACTATTTAACAACACGTCATAAGTGTTAAGTCTAATTCCATTAGAGGGAAGGCAACAATTATAGATAACTATTTCAATTACGAGTATTTATATTAACTTGTGCAGCATATAATAATAGATAATGATTTTATTGAATCAAGCTTCCATCACCATGATTGAATTAGGTAGAATATATTTCTTTAAATGATCATTACCGATAGATGGCAAATTTACTATATTCTCTTCTTTGTCTATGTAACAATTTTAAATTTTGAGTTAAGAATTCTATTCTTTCAAATTCTTTTAGGGTAGAATCTTCCCGAACATTTATGGTCATTTATTTTCTCACTCTATTACCTTGACATTATGAACAATCTCATATAATTGTGTAAGTACGTATTTATATTAATATATATTAAATATAGAAGACTTGGACTTGGACTAGGACTTGGGGCTTGGGCTTGGATCGGAACTTAAAATAAATATTTTTTATAAAGCTTAAATATTTGCTCTATGAATAACAATGTTTTTACAAACAAGCATAGTATATATAGAAAGAAGGGTCATATCATATACATATATCTATAATGCGATTCATACTGTACAAAATAGGTCCAAATTAAAGTGCCGAAGAGACAAAATAACTCAAGATAGAGAAAATGATAGTTTATGTTCACTCAATAATAATATTGTGATCATCACTTTTGAGAAATCTTTTCACAATATCCAGGCATGGTTGCAAAACGGTATTCCTCCATGCTTTGCAAACAACTTCATTTCTACCTCCTTTGAAAACGTCAATAGCAATAATATGATGCACCAACCACATATTCTCATTTATTAACCGTTAAATCTTGTCAAGTTGGTGACAAATTAATAAACGAGTACTACGCTTGATATTAGCAATTGACGTTTGAAGAAGCATCTTCTTTGATTCATCATCTTCGTCTATATTTGTTTCTTCTCTTAAATATATGTCCATTTCAGGGACACCAATGGGCAGTCGGATTCCTTTGGTGTAATCTGCATCTGGAATAAAAATCTACCGCACCTCATCCACTAGCCCTGCATGCAGCCTAAATTTAAAGAAGAGTTTTATTTAGTGGAACATAGATTTGATAACCAAAAAAAAATTATTAAGAAAATTATAAAAGAAAAGCTTTTAGCTAGATCCATGATTTTATCTTGATTGATACATAAAACAATTACAAAAATTACCAGTTGATCAACCCTCATGTCAACTCTACGGTTCAAGATTGATTGCTCTACATCAATCCAAATAAAGCAAATATCATACTTATATTTGAACATGAACACAGGGTCTTCCACAAGTTTTTTAATATACTAATTTGACCCGCTAACAATAGTTGAAACTCATTGAGTCTTCAAAAAAAAAATCTATGTAGACAATAGCTTGCAAACAAAAAAATTCAGCTGTGAAGTCAGAATATGGCTCAATTTCACCTAACAAAATATGATCAAATTAACTTTCTAAGAATTGAAATGAATAATTTTTTAATTGTACAGTATAGTTTCCACTAGAATCTACAATTACTACTATTAAATTATCTAGGTAGTCATTTGATATAAATATTGTTGGAAATAAATAAATATACCTAACAAATAGTGTCGTACACCTCGAGAAATTTCTCGATGTGTGTGATCTTGTTTGTAACAATTTCAAGTCCCTTATATACTTGCAATTTGTCCGAGTTGATTATTTCTCCTCGAAAATGGGTGGCAAGATCAACTGAGAGACGGGATTTTCCCGTTTCTGTTGCTACCATTATGAACACCACTTTCCTCTTGTTAAACTTGTTATTGTTGATTAAAGTATTCATTTTAGGTATACATAAAATAAAATAAATATAATAATTAGTTTACAGATGTAAATAATCTCATGAAAATCACTCATGCATACAGTCAGACATTAAAAAATCTTGTAAATATAAAGTTAATAAGTAGAAACCTTGTTGGAGATGGAATATACTATGTAAAAAAATATATATTTTTCTTGATGGTGGCTATGAAATAAATTGCATTCAGCTTTTATAGTAAAATCTGTTTGTGGACTTATTAATGGACATACCATATTCATAATTACAGATATCTTTTAGGATAAGAATGACTTTTGAAAAATTTATACATATATCAACTTCAATTTTGGTAATTATTATTAAATATATTTTAGGATAAAGTTATTAGATGTACATTGTTAGGAGATCACATACACCTGGGCTTTTATAGTAAAAATGTGATTATAAACTTATTAATTGGAATACAAAATTAAAATATATATATATATATATATATCTTTTAAAATAAGAATAGTTCTTGAAAAATATACAGATATGTCACCTTGAATTTTGGCGATTAAGCTTAAATAATTTTAGGATGACGTTTCTAGATGTACATTGTTATGAGATCACATACAGAACTGACAGAAAGATCGATTACAAAAGGATTGTAAAAAGAACTCAATAATATTTCTGACGGAATATATTCAAGTGATAATGTGTCAATTCTTACACTATTTAACAACACGTCATAAGTGTTAAGTCTAATTTCATTAGAGGGAAGGGAACAATTATCGATAACTTTTTCAATTATGAGTATTTATATTAACTTGTGCAGCATATAATAATAGATAAAGATTTTATTGAATCAAGCTTCCATCACCGTGACTGAATTAGGTAGAATATATTTCCTTAAATGATAGATTGCAAATTAGTATTTTCTCTTCTTTGTCTATGTAACAATTTTAAATTTTGAGTTTAGAATTCTATTCTTTTAAATTATTTTAAGGTAGAATCTTCCCAAACATTTATGGTCATTTATTTTCTTACTTTGTTACCTTGACATTATGAATGATCTCATGTAATTTTGTTAGTACGTATTTATATTAATATATATTAAATATAGAAGACTTGAACTTGGACTTGGGGCTTCGGCTTGGATCGGAACTTAAAATAAATATTTTTTAGAAAGCTTAAATATTTGCTCTATAAATAAAAATATTTTTACGGAAAAGAATAATAGATATAGAAAGAAGGGTCATATCATATCATATATATATATATATATATATATATTTGTAATGCGATACAAATTGTACAAAATAGGTCCAAATTAAAGTGTCGAATAGACAAAATAATTCACGATAGAGATAATGATAGTTTATGTTCACTCAATAATAATATTGTGATCATCACTTTTGAGAAATCTTTTCACAATATCCAAGCATGGTTGCAAAACGGTATTCCTCCATGCTTCGTCAACGGCTTCTTTTCTATCTCCTTTGAAAACGACAGTAGCAATAATATGATGCACCAACCACATTTTCTCATTTATTAACCGTTGAATCTTGTCAAGTTGGTGACAAATTCATAAATGAGTATTACGCTTGATATTAGCAATTGACGATTGAAGAAGCATCTTCTTTGATTCATCATCTTCGTCTATATTTGTTTCTTCCCTTAAATATATGTCCATTTCGGGGACACCAATGGGCCGTCGGATTCCTTTGGTATAATCTGCATCTGGAATAAAAATATGTCGCACTACATCTACTAGCCCTGGATGCAACATAAATTTAAAGAATAGTTTTATTTAGTGGAACATAGATTTGATAACCAAAAATATTATTAAGAAAATTATAAAAGAAAAGGTTTTAACTAGATGCATGATTATATCTTGATTGATACATAAAACAATTACAAAAATTACCTGCATTGACCATTTGATCAACCCTCATGTCAACTCTATAGTTCAAGATTGATTGTTCTACATCAATCCAAATAAAGCTAGTATAATACTTATATTTGAACATGAACACAGGGTCTTCCATAAGTTTTTCAATATACGAATTTGACCCTCCAACAATAATAGGAACACGTTGAGTCTTCAAAAAAAATTCTATGTAGACAATAGCTTGCAAACAAAAATCTTCAGCTGTGAAGTTGGAATCTTGCTCAATTTTACCTAAGAAAATGTGATCAAATTAACTTTCTCAGAAGTGAAATAAATAATGTTTTAATAGTAAAGTATATTTTTCACTAGAATCTACAATTACTACTATTAAATTATCTAGGTAGTCATTTGATATAAATACTGTTGGAAATAAATATATATACCTAACAAATAGTGTCGTACACCTTGTTTCTCAGTGTGTGTGATCTTGTTTGTAACAATTGCAAGTCCCTTATACATTTGCATTTTGTCCGAGTTGATTATTTCTCCCCGAAAATGTGTGACAATGTCAACAGAGAGACGGGATTTTCCAGTTCCTGTTGCTCCTATTATGAACACCACTTTCTTCTTGTTGAACTTGTTATTGTTGAGGAAACAATGCACTCACATCATAGAGAGGAAAATAAAAACATAGTTCATTTTTCAGAACAAGTCATCATATTATTAGTTTTTCCCTTTAAACCTTGATATAGGATCTCTAGTCCCCAAGTTGGGTTTCATCATATATTACTCATGGATTTATATGTTTCAATCTCGTCCCCTCAATGTACTCTAGACCTTTTCTCTTGTTAAGACCTTAGTAAGAGGATCTGCAAGATTATCACAAGATTTGACATAATTAACATTAATGGTACCACTTGTCAAATACGATCTTACATTAATGTGTTTCCTCCTTATAGGTCTGGATTTACTGTTGCAATAACAGTTTTGAACTCTACTAATCGCAGCGGTGCTATCACGGTAAATTAAAATATGACGAATTGATTTTTCAAAATAAGGTATTTGAAATAATAAATCTCTTAGCCAATTCGCTTCCTCACTAGTTGAAGCCAAAACAATTAGTTCAGCCTCCATGGTAGAGTTAGCAATTATAGTTTGTTTTTTTATCTCCAACAAATAGAACCACTGCCCAAAGTAAATTCATAAGTAGTGGTAGAACAGGAATCACCTGATAAAGTGTTCCAATCTGCATCAGAAAAGCCTTCAAGTAGAGCAAGATAATTTTTACAAAACAAACCACAATTTTTTGTTCCAATTAAATATCTCATAACTCTTGTTATAGCATGTCAATGTTCATTACATGGCTTGCAGTAAACCTGTCAAGTACTGCTACTGCATATGCAATATCAGGCCTAGAGCAATCGGTCACATATCTCAAACTTCCAATTATGCTAGCATATTCATTTTGATTTATTCTCTCACTTTCACTTTCAACAATAAATAAGTGAACACTTGAATCAAAAGAAGTTACAACATGTTTGCATTAATCAAATTTATATTTTTTCAACATTTTCTCAACATAATGTGACTGGTCAAGGAAAATTCCATCACATATTCTTGTTATTTTTATGCCAAGAGAGTTTCATCGTTAGAGTAAAGCCAGTGGAGAAAAATTTTGGGTTAGAAAACTTTTTTGTAGTATCTTGAAATTTCCCAACATAGTCCAGATTTGGACGAAATCGAAGTCTTTGAGGTGTAGGGAAATTTGGTAACAATCAGGTGATTTAATTATGATTTTGATTGCATTAGTAGTTAGATAACTCGTTAAAAAATCCGTACGACTTTACATAATTGAATTTGGGTGAGTAGAACTCCCTAAATCGATCTTAGCGTAAAGGGTATTTTCTGAGCGTCATGGGTCAGAGGTGTATTGTGAAATGGGAAATTTTGAATTCCTTAAATTGCTCGCTGTCTTGCAAATACCGCCTCGGTGGGGATTTCTGTCGCTTTGGCAGGGTGGTGGCCGCTGTGGCGGGCCAGACGTGACTTAATATCGTTAACAAACCCCTAAACGACCTTATTTCGCACTTTTCAATTTTTAGAGGTAAGGAACGAAACTCAGGTGAGTCCTACTCATTTTTTACCATTCTTGAGGCTAAAGGTAAGATTTTCACTCTCCGAATTCATTTTTCGATCCATAGAATGTAATAGAATGGGTGAATATTGATGGAGAAGGGTTTTGTTATATATTCTATGGTGGAAACAACCCTAAATTGGATAGATGGGATCATGGATTTGATCTAGGGTTCATAGAATTGTTATAGTTTCGGGTAATTAGCGATTGTTTGTTGATTCTCATGTTATTGTGATTGTTTGTAGACCAAGAACAAGCGAAACAAATTCGGAAAGGGAAGGATCAAGTTTCTTAGGGTTTCAAGCTTGTTTCGAGGTAGGTGATGGTTGTGATTCTATGATTGTGTAATGTATGCTTGTTCTTGCTTCATTATGATACTTGTATATGTGTGAATGTTGCAATGTTGATCACACTTGTTGTAAATGAGATAGATGAATTATCATTGCCATGAAATCATGACTTAAATGTATGATCTTGATGATATACTTGTGTTTCTGATTGTGGTGAGTGAATGGGATCGGTTGCCACGTTCCGGCAAAACTAACTTGGATCGGTTGCCACGTTCCGGCATAAATGTGGGATAGGTTGCCACGTTCCGGAATAAATATGAGATCGGTTTCCATGTTCCGACAAAACTAACTTGGATCGATTGCCACGTTCCGGCAAAAATGTGGGATCGATTGCCACGTTTCGGAATAAATATGGGATCGGTTGCCACGTTCCGACATGCTAACTATTTGGGTTTGGGTTCCATGAGAGGAGAAATGATTTGATATAAAATGTTAAGTTGCTCGTTGTTCGTAAATGTTGATAATGTTGTATATGTTGATATATATACATGTAATTATATTGTTGTTTGACTTTCTTATGTTGCTCTAGTGGGATAGCCGTGATCCTACCAGTACACTATGGTTGTGTACTGATACTGCACTTGCTCTTATTTTTGTTGAGTACAGGGCATCTTCAAGCGGCTACTGACAAACCTCACTTAGGAGATCGGTGACCGTTGTTTCGAATTCAAGGGTGAGCCAATTCTTCCGGGCAGCCATGGGATTCTCTTTCGTCTATATCAACCATTTCTGGACTTAGACTTATGTTCTAGTTAGTTGATTAGTTCATAAGATTGGGGTTGCATCCCTTCTTGTTTAGACTTGGTTGTTAGATGTTTTAGTACATTGACTTTCTGGTTCTATGTTATTTCTTCCGCATTAGTTTAGTTCTTGTTAGACTTTTGTTGGAGTTTATGGGAATTCTCTACTTATTTCCTTAGTATTGACTAAAATGCCTTAGTTATTGCTTTAGTTGCTTGGTTTGGGTTTTAGTAGTGGTTTTCCCACCGAAGTGTTAGTGTGGGTGCCAATCACGACGGTCTGGGTCGTGAAAAAGCTGGTATCAGAGCCTAGTTTCGTTGATCTCGATGTACCAAAATGAGTCTAGTAGAGTCTCGCGGAACGGTACGGGGATGCCTTTACTTTTCTTCGATAGGCTATAAGACTTTAGGAAATCTCTATGTTTTCTCTTGTCTCCTTTAGTGCTATGACTTGATTCCAATTGGTATATGGCGATTCAAATTGGTATCTAACCTCCTTCACTATTCTGTCCACAGATGGTTAATACTACGTATAACGGCGCCAGGCCCGTAGCTCCCATCAATGCTCCAACTGAGGAATCTGCAGCGAGAGGTTGCGGTCGAGGCAAGGGTAGAAAAAGAGCTAGAGGTAGAGGCCATGGAAGAGTAGCACCTGTTGGAAATGGAGCTCCTGTGGAGAATGATCCTGTGAATGAGAACTCTCCCATGCATCATGAGGAAATAGAAGAAGAGGTGGAGGTTGAGAATGTGGAGAATGTTGAGGTGATTGGATAAGAGGAAGAGGTGCAGGCTGAGGCTACATGTATTCCTCTCATCGACCCAGTGTTAGCTCAACAGATCATGTCATTTTTGAAGGGATTGGCTGGTCCTGGAATGCTTCCATCTGATCAAGCAACTCAAGCTCCTACTAATCATCTTGTTGCTAGAACGGCGCCCAAGATGGGTGGAACGGGAGGTAATGATACTTTCTTCCATCCTTTGTTGGGTTCTGTCATGACCGGTAATGAGCATGAAATGTTGGCTAAGTTTATGAAGCTTAAGCCTCCGGTATTTCTCGGTTCTGAGAGTGAGGATGCGTATGAGTTCATTCTGGATTGCTATGAGAGGCTGCATAAATATTGTTCACCAACAAGGGGTTGAGTTTGTGTCTTTTCAACTTCAAGGTGAGGCCAAACAATGGTGGAGAGCTTATATGGAGTGCAGGTCTTCTACTTTACCTCCTCATACTTAGACCCAATTTCATGCTATATTTCTAGAAAGTATGTGCCTAGAACTTTGAGAGATCGCAAGAAAGATGAGTTTATGGCTTTGGAGTAAGGTGGTATGTATGTGGTTGCTTATTAGGCCAGGTTCCATGCTTTATCTAGATATGCTACGCAGTTGGTGACTACCAAGGAGGAGAGGATCCAGTTATTTATTAGGGGACTAAATTCTAAGTTGTAAGTATTATCTGTTCATATGACTTCTGCAGGAAAGAGCTTTAATGAGATGACACACTATGTTAAGAAAGTGAAGGCGGTGAGGCGAGGCGGTCAAGCTAAGGCATGGGCAAAAAGGGCCAAGAACTCGGGTAACTTTCAAGGTTCTTATTCCAAGGGGTCCGGAAGGCCAACGCTTGCAGCCAAGCCAATTCAGTCTGCTTTGCCCGCCTTCACAGGTAGTTACTCGAAAACTCCACCTCAAAATTTTCAGGATAATCAGGGAGTTGCGCCTTCGACGGGCGACAGACCATATTTTGATCATACTTGTTACAACTGCGGAGAACCTGGGCATATGAGGAGAGATTACCCACATCCGCGTGTGTTTGATTCTGCGCAACAGCCTTCTAGAGCAATGGTACCCGCGGGAAATGGTAATAATGGTAGAGGACGTCCACAAGGTGGGCGAGGAGGTAATCAGCGAGGCCGTGGAGGTAGAGGAAATGGTAATGGTAATGGAGGTAGGGGTAGCACGCAACCAGGCAGGAAAGTGGCCCGTCAAGATGATAGGGCTCAATGTTATGCTTTTTCGGGAAAGAATAAGGCGGAGGCGTCCGATGCGGTGATCACAGGTACCATTCTTGTCTGTGATCGAATGGCTAATGTGTTGTTTGATCTGGGTTCTACTTATTCATATGTATCTGTGAGATTTGCCTCAGATTTTGATATGATTTGTGATATTCTTGATGCCCATATTCGTGTTTCTACCCTAGTTGAAGAGTCCATCATAGTTACCCATGTCTACCGTGCTTGTCCTATTTTGTTTATGGGATTTCAGACTTGGGCTGATTTAGTGATTTTGGATATGATTGACTTTGACATAATCTTGACATTATGTTGTCCCCCTATTATGTTGTGCTTAATTGTAATACTAAGTCTGTAACTCTAGAAATTTTGAGAAGGTAAAAATTAGAGTGGGAAGGGATGTACAAGCCTAAGCAAGCTAATATTATATCCTTCATTCGGGCTAGTAAATTAGTAGAGTAGGGTTGTTTGGCTTATATGGCTCATATTAGGGATGTTGAAATTGAGGCTCCATCCATTGGTTCTATTCTTGTGGTGTCTGAATTTAGTAAAGTGTTTCCTAATGACTTGATTGGTATGCCTCCGGATAGAGATATATATTTTTGCAATGATTTAGAGCCTGGTACGCGCCGCATTTCTATCCCTTCATACCGCATGGCTCCGGCAAAATTAAGAGAGCTTAAAGCCCAAATCCAAGAGCTTCTTGATAAGGGATTTATTCACCCTAGTGCTTCTCCATGGGGCGCTCCAATTTTGATTTTTAAGAAAAAGGATGGTAGTATGAGAATGTGTATAGATTACCGGCAATTAAATAGAGTCACTATTCGAAACAAATATCCTTTGCCTCAAATAGATGATATCTTTGACCAATTGCAAGGGGGAGTAGTTTTCTCTAAGATTGATCTAAGATCTGATTACCATCAATTAAAAATTAGACGTGAAGATGTGCCTAAGATGGCGTTTAGAACTCGTTATGGGCACTATGAGTTTTTGGTTATGTCTTTTGGTTTGACCAATGCGCCTGCAACTTTCATGAGTTTAATGAATGGGGTGTTCAAGCCATTTCTTGATTCCTTTGTGATAGTCTTTATTGATGATATTTTGGTTTATTTGAAAAGTGAAGAAGAGCATGCCAACCATCGTATTGTTTTGGGTGTTCTTGGGAAAGAAAAGTTATATGTTAAATTTTCAAAGTGTGAATTTTGGTTGAAATCAATTGCATTTTTGGGGCATGTAGTTTCAAAAGAAGGGATAATGGTAGATCCTCAAAAGATTGAGGTGGTCAAGAATTGGGTTAGGACTAGCTCTG